CAGGAGAAACAGTAATATTTCAAAATCTGTGAAATATTACTGTTTCTCCTGTAATTCGACTAATTACAGGAGAAACAGTAATATTTCACAAACAGATCGACTAATTACAGGAGAAACAGTAATATTTCACAAACAGATCGACTAATTACAGGAGAAACAGTAATATTTCACAAACAGATCGACTAATTACAGGAGAAACAGTAATATTTCACAAACAGATCGACTAATTACAGGAGAAACAGTAATATTTCAAAAACAGATCGACTAATTGCAGGAGAAACCGTAAGATTTAAAAAACAGTTCGACTAGTCACAGAAGAGAAAGTAGGATTAAAGAAAAACATGGACCAATCGCATTGGATATATTAACAACTTTTATCGTTGAAAAACGGCCTGACATGAACTGGTGGTTGGGGCACTCGACTTGGAATTTGCGGTTTGCGGGTTCGAATCCTTGTTTTAGAGAAAAAAAAAGTTACAAAAAAAGACGACACATGATACAATTGACTTTGAGACACAACGACACAGACAACAAGTGACTTTAAGACAAGATGACACAATGCTGCAAGCGACTCTGAAACAAGACGGTCCTGCTTTTGTAAGTGACAAAACGACACAGAAAACAAAAACTTTTAGACACTTATAGATCTTTAATATATTTGGATTCATGACACTTCTCAACACTCAACGCACATTATTGACACTAATAGATCTTTAATATATTTGGATTCATGACATTTCTCAACACTCAACGCACATCACTGAAACTTATAGATCTTTAATATATTTGGATCCATGACACTTCTCAACACTCAACGTACATCACTGAAACTTATACATCTTTAATATATTTGGATTCATGACACTTTCACAACACTCAACGCACATCACTGAAACTTATACATCTTTAATATATTTGGATTCATGACACTTCTCAAAACTCAACGCACATCAGTGACACTTATAGATCTTTAATATATTTGGATTCATGACACTTTCACAACACTCAACGCACATCACTGAAACTTATACATCTTTAATATATTTGGATTCATGACACTTTCACAACACTCAACGCACATCACTGAAACTTATAGATCTTTAATATATT